GTTGGTGTTGACAAAATCCACCCCAAATTAGTCATACAAGCTGCAAATGTTATCTCTCCCGTTAACCCACATTATCAATTGTTCACTGAGCCAAGGAATATTTCCAGATGCACTTAAAATAGCCAAAATAATCCCAATTTATAAAAAGGGGGCCACCACTGAACCCAGCAACTACAGACCAATTTCAATTCTCCCCATTTTCAGTAAAATTATCGAATCAATTGTTAACAAGCAATTTATAAATTACCTAGAAACAAAACATATACTTTTAGATACACAATTTGGATTTCGGAAAAATTGTAGCACTAAACTAGCCCTGGTCTCTGATATAGGTGAGCAGCTTGATAATGGGTTTCTTACTTTTGGGGTATTCATTGACCTCAAAAAGGCCTTTGATACTATTAATCATGATATCTTATTGAATAAATTAAAACATTATGGTATCAGAGGCCTTCCATTAAACTGGTTTCAAAACTACCTCTACCACCGCCAACAGTCAGTTTTCATTAACAACATTACATCGCCATACATGAACATACAATGTGGTGTCCCACAGGGATCGATTCTAGGCCCCGTTCTATTTCAAGTCCACATTAATGACATTACAAATTCCACCAACTCTTTTCAATTTCAACTGTTTGCTGATGACACCAATTTATTCAAATTTATCAAAGAAAATAATATTAATCTTTCCCATATAAACTCTGACCTGAAGCATGTTTGTGAATGGTGTCATGCTAACAAGCTCACTATCAGTGCTGAAAAGACCAATTACATGATTATTAAAACATCCCAAAAAATAGTGAACGTAGAGGGCAGTTTAGGTATTGACGGTAACCAAATAGAGGGTGTCCCATTTACCTTGGAGTATCTATTGATCAGCATTTCAATTGGAAGTCTCACATTCGAAAGGTTGTAAAATTCATTGCCCCTAAGGTGGGAATTATATCTCGGCTCAGACATTATTTACCTAAATCAACTCTTATTTTATTGTACAACTCTTTAATTCTTCCACATCTTTCATATTGTATTTAAATTTGAGGAAACACTTATACTACCGGTACCTTCCTGCAGCCATTACTTTTGCTTCTAAAGAAAATTGTTCGTCTTATAACTTTTTCAAACTACCGCGCACATACTGCCCCTTTATTTAAACGACTTGGTATTCTTGACATTCACAAACTCTCTAAATTCAATACTTGCCTGTTCACCTTTGACCTTCTTAAAAATCGCTTTGCACATGATGTGAATCACTACTTTAAGATCCCCTTCCACACAACTACCCAACCCGACTCGCCATTGAAAACAATTTTTACATTCCACAAGTGCATTTAACTCAAAGTAAACATAATATCAAATAAGCAGTTTCAAAGCACTGGAATGCACTTCCCAATCACATTAAAAATATCACATATAGACACACGTTTAAAAGTACATTAAAATCCCTTCTACTAAATGAGTAACATTCATTCACTCATTCATTCATCAACTTAGTTATTTATTTGTTCAGTTATCCAGTTATTTATTTATCTATTCATTTATTACTAATTGATCAAATAATTGATAAAATATTTCATCAACAGTTTGTTATTTTACTTTACATTATTTCACTTATTTAATTATATTTAATTATATTTCTTAGTCATGCAGACACTTTCTGTGTATAACGCTAGGCGGGGACATGGACTGGACTAGTTCAATACCGAACTATTTCCGTGTCCCTCACCAGTTGCATTCCTACAAAACGATATTTTATTTATTACACAAATATATGCATTTCTGTACATTAGTATTTATTTAATTTTCTTATGTTAGTGGTGAAATAAATTTCAAACTTCAAACTTGTTCCTGTTAATGTTACACTGGTGAGAAGTATTGTTTTGGGGAGAGTATGAAATTGAGGATCTAAACGGGTAATTGAATTCACAATAGCATACAAGGAGATAACGTGTATCAGTATTGCTGCTGGATGGCTACAATGTGTATGAACAGAGTGATGATACTTCCTTTGAAGACTTTGAAGAGTGTACATGTCACAAAGGACTTGTTGATCAGAGCAGAAAAACTGATGGTGTCAACACCTGATGATGGGTCACTTGAGATGACCTCATCAACCACCTGTTTAACCCACTGGGTCACTGGAGATGACCTCATCAACCACCTGTTTAACCCACAGTACAATGACCAGCAATTGGTACCTAATAGATTGGTCTGGGGTCAATTCCCCGTCATGGGAACTAAAAAAATAATATCACTTCGATCACTGGGGGGGAACATTGTTTGAAATTTGTCCAGTAGGTAATACTTTGTTCATATGGTATAATGTGTTGAAGTCATAGAGACAGCCAATCAGCAATGACATGGAATTCCATGTTTACTACCGGGGTACATAGTTACATAGCAATTCACCAATCCATTCTTGGGTGTACTCGATATGGCTGAATTGCAGGCTACTTGAGATCCCCTCTTGATGACTAAAATCTATATTTCACCGTTTTGTTTGTGTGTACCTGTAAATATTAATCCAAGATAATTTTGAAATAAAAGGAAATACTGTCTACCATTAACAATTTCATACTGTGAGCATACCTTGGAAAAAGTTCATGAAAGTCAATGTAACCCAAAGACTGCAGTGAAATATTGATTGTGATAATATTTCATAATTTTCGCAAAACTTGTTACAATTTGTTTAAAGGAAATTGCATATTTTTATAATTAACTGGTTTGCAACCAGCCAAGAATGTAAATACAGCTGAACAGCCTAGCTATAAATAAATAATGTCCTGGCAGTTGGATGTAAATATCATGTGTTGACTGTGGATTAGCCCGCCTAGTGTTCATTGTGCAGTCGTAGTGATGATTGCGTACAAGTACGAGCACCTGGACTACCTTACATATCAAAGTATAGTGGGAAAGGAGCCAAGATACAATGAAGCTTACAAAGATTTATTATATACAAGATTTTATACAAGTGAAAAGTACTTCGAAATAAACATTTCATTTCAATTGGTAGATTTAATTCAAACTGGCAAGTTTTGTTGAAATTATGAATATATTTAATGGCGTGAAAGAAAAAAAAAAAGAATTATCTTGCATCTGTTAACAGAACTCACTGTTTAATACACAAGATTATCGTATTTGCTCTATCAGGTACATGTGCAAAATAAGTCATAATAATCCACTATACAGTAAATGCAACTGCTGGTTTACATACACTTCTATTGGAAATGTGTTTCTATTAAAGAAATTACGATATTAGTTGTAGCTCAACCAAGACGCACTTGATGGTCTCCGCACCTGTTCACCTGTTTCATTTATGAGGCGATATATTAAACGGTCACAGTGAATGACTACACAAGAATTAGGTCCCTTCACTACCAAAGATTAAAGGATAGGTTTCAATTATATTAAAATACATTGCACAATTGAAAATTGAGGTGTTGATATTTATAATATATATATTTTTATACATTGTACAAGTGAAAAATGCATTTATGTTTTACTTTTGAAAAATTAGAATTTGTATATAGTTTGAAAATTTTTTTTTTTTCACAAAAAGATTTCAATATTTAGTATCTAACAGTTTTAAATGAGAGCGTTTTCTTTCAAATTGCATACGTGTAGTTGCAATCTGGTTTCCTCATAAAAGAATAATCTGAAAGCACACACATCCTTCCAATTTCCTCCGACTGTGGGAAAAATAACACACATGCCAGTTAAGTAACCATTTTCCATTTTTTCTACCCAGCTACCACCCCTAATATTTTTGTAAATAGAATGATCCATTGCTGCTAGACAACAGAATTTCCTTCTGACCTTTGCCCTTTTGTCATTAGTCTATTTAAAATGTTAAGTTAAGTAGAGTATTTGGTAATAATATTCCATAATATTGATACCGTAATCATATTGTACTGCTAGGAACTAAATAATAAATGAATGTACCCCCTTTTTTTATTTACAGGTATTATAGGTACACAGATTTTAGATTTTATACAAGTTATTGATTATGAATGTAGTTCAACTTCTACATACTAAGATTACCTGCATTTACATACAGTGTTTCTTTGTGACTATGTTTTAGTTATTTTTAAAATTATTAGCGCTTGAGCAAGTATGTTTTCACTTTGAGTTGTCGCAGCCTTTTTGCTGTCAGTTCAGTGTGTGTTACAAATCTGAAATGATTGAACATTTCTATGTCCATACTGATAGAAATTTCTGGAATCTGAACAGTCTACTAGATAGAATTTAATTTAGGATAATAATTTAAGTGTGACCCCCCCCTCCCGACTCATAAAATTAAAAAGATTTACATTAAAAATTAAAGTGCAACAAATACAGTACTGCACTGGCATATTTAGAATATGTGTTAAATAAATAGGGTGGGCGGGTAGATAACTCTGACACCCCCCCCCCCCCACACACACACACACACTTCCAATTGTTGCTAATCAATTCATGTACAGAAAGTTCAAAATTTCCTGGTCAACAATATTTTGCATATACTTTAAACAAATTAATTACTCACTGGGTTTGATTAACTTTCGCTGATAAGTGAAATACGATTTTTCATGAATGTGTAAAATTACAATAAAAATCATTATTTCACTGGCAAATGCATAAAAACCCAGTGAATATGCTCAAATGTTCAAAATAGTGATATTAAGTGAAAATGTATATTTTACAAAATAAACTAAATGTGATCGAAGAACTTTAACGGGAGGTGGTCGTCCTGTTTGATATTGGATTCATAGTGACGTATATACAACATATGTAAAATACATTGTTTACATAAAAATTGGAACATGCACTGCGGGACGACTATTGCCTTTTAAAAAAATATCTTGACATTTGCCTAATCAAACTATCTTTTTTGATTTTGTAATTTTTTTAATTATAAAATAATTACATGGTACATGCAAAAGTATCTCCAGTGTTCAAATTGAAGAACCATGCCTACTCATAACAGTGTTTGCGATTGTAACTAAGCAAGAAGAAAATCTGCCTGTCCTTCTTCAAATCCAGAGGACTTGTTAATAAAACTCTGAAACTCTTGTTTCAGTTCTGTGTATTCTTCTTGCAACTGAGCTTTCTCTTTTTCAAGTCGCGTGATTTCTTTTAAAGCTTCCTGGTGGTTAATGTAATGAGTCCTTATTTGGTATTCTAAATAGTTAACTTGTTGCGAATGAGCAGCCTTTATGGATGCCACTTCAGCTGCAGCAACCTTTCTTTCCCTATTCATGGTTTCAGACACTGCACGTTCCTTCTCTCTCACAAGTTTATCTTGAAGTTCTTTTAAAGCTTTCTGCTTCTCTTCTGCTACTCGCTTTGCAGTTTCTTCCTCGCGTTGTGCAACTTGTCTGGAGTTAAATATAACAAAATGAGACATAATTAAATTTAATTAATTATTAGCATGTCTCACGCTACTTCATTTTATCAACTATTCAGTCACAGTTTTTTTTTCTATATTTATTTCAAAAATTGTTGATGATGAATTCCATTTGGTCTAATTACAAAAAAATTATTGAAAATAAATAAATGAAAAATTTTGGTAAAAAAAATTATGCTGTTCATAGGGAATAATAAGATGTATTAAAATGTAATATTGTTTCTTATTAAAATGCCACCCAATCCAGCACAAAATATTATGACCACACAGATCACATTTCAAATGAAAAAAACAAAATTAAAGTTCTCACTTTGCTAGAATTTCGGCTGCATCCTTGGCTATCTTTTTCTCTTCACACCTCGCTTCACGAACTGCTTTTGTTTTGGCCAAGACGCCTTCATTTTTCGTTTTGGCAATAGCCTGTGTTACCTTCTTCTCTCCCATCTCGCGTTCAGCAGTCACCTGATCTATTGTGAGCTTTTGCATTTCACCTTCTACTCTCAAAGCTTCTTCCTTTGTATACAATAAAATAAAGTTTACAAAGTGACATAGATGAACTGCCAAGCAGGAGACTGTAACAAATAAGGTTTACACCATTTTACTATCAGAGATTGAACGCAGCCTCTTGAAAATTCACGTTAATTGCTGGACTCGTCAGGTACCATACCAGTACATGCAAGACACACCATGGATTTTTAAAGATTACTTACTTTTAATGCTTTTTCATGGACTTTCTTCAAATTGTTGATAGCTTTTTCCCTGTCAATTTTAGCATATTGCCTAGATTTCTCAAGAGCATCAGCCTTTATCTGTTCAGCTTCTTGCCAGACAGCAGCTTTGGCAGCCTCTATGGTCTGCTTTTTATCATTTTCCAATTCATCCAACAAATCTTTGTGTATGGTGTCTCCAATACCTATATCAATATATATATATATATATACATATATACAATCACAATTCCAATATAAGTTGTGTATATAGAAAATATCTTATGAGTGATCCTATAATATCTGATTTATTAGTGTAGTAGTAAATTACAATTGTTGTAGAGTCACAAATTTGATATCCTATTTATCCCATGTATCGATTTTGTAGCTTTTAAAGGCTAAAAACTAATGCAGAGATTGAAATTTTGAGCTGTTTCACAATCACCACTCGGCATGTGTCAAACATGTGTATTGAGAAGTTGAGGTTGGGAGAATTTATGAATTTTTTATCTCACGAATAGTATTTACTGGTGTGGATGAACACGATTTCAAAAATTACTTTGGTGTTATCCAATGAGCCTTGTTCATAGTGATAGTGATTCACAGCCCTTCATTTTAATTTGAATCTCCATTTGTATATATACATGTACAAAATTTGACAGTTAACGAAATCTGTAGTGTATTCTGAAATTTTCTGGTCTTCAGAATATTTATTTAACCAACATAACCCAGGAACAATTAAATTAAAAAAATCAAGGTTAAACAAAATACCATTAGAGATTAGTGATTTAACAAGCATGCAATCTTTTGTTATATATTGAAGAGTTTTTTTTATTGAACGTTTGCCAAACTCTTGTCCATTATGACTCTAGTAGGAGGCCAGAGTGTCAAATTGTTCTTTGATTGTCATTTTGACAGAAAACATGAGTGGTATGTTAACTAGTTTATTTATGTCGTTCACGCATGTAAGTCAACCTATGTTGATTTAATTAATTTACGATTCACTAAACTGCCAAACAATACCTCGCCATAAATATGTAGGTGCTGCCACCAATAAATAAACTTTGAAGCTGATTAATCTAATAAAATTGAACCCCAGCAAAATCCACGCATGGGACATGGCATCTTGGAAACAAAACATAACATCGGGAACTTGGAAGGTAATATTTTTATGGCTAGACAACCATACCAGGTTCCAATTATGTAACAAGTTTCTCGACATACACGGTTCAGTGCATGGCATGGTGTTCGTACAAGCTAATTTTACATCTTCACGGCGACTCACAATAAGCACCGCGATGATATTTCACTGCTCCATGGCAACGGAGTTATTTTGGCTGTTTTTACATTCACGGACTGTGAATATGGGGGCGTTACTTATTACTTACGAACTATTGTTGTATGTGCATATTCTTGAACTTGAACTGGTTTGCTGTCTTCGTATCGGAGAGGTATACCGTTGTACCGCGGTGACAGAGCGCGGTTCGGGTCTTTCGACATGGTAATACGAGATTGAACGCACCGCACCGTATGTATCAAAAACCCTGAGGCTTCGCTGGGTATTATCTGAGCCTGAATCCTATGTTGTAGCCTTCTTCACAAACACAACCAGCCCGCAAGCGTAAGTGGATTATATATAAACCCAGAATAGGCCCTGTGTTTCATTAACTATAACAAAGAAAGCGGGAAACTCAAATCACCAGGGAAGTGTCCGTAGGAAACGCATTTTACGGCCATTGATTTCAGCGTACATTCGATATCCATCAACAGGTGCCATTTAACACTATTGCTCTTTCGCGTTCCGCATACTTCCGCAAAGTAGTACAAGATCAAAGTTATTATGTTTTGAAAATAATATGCTCAAAAGCAAACATTTGATGACAAAACGACTACAATGCACAATATATAATGCACGTTTCCTATCCACTTGCAAAATATACGAATTACTTCCACGATACATGTTCGCGGAGCGATATTTGATAGTGTGTGTAATGACCAGTTCGAGTTACCACGGAAACTGTCGCTGGCGGCGCGCTTGTCAACCATTTCGACCCCAAAATCGGCATCTTTCATCTTACTACATTTGTACACAGTCCCTCTATCTCTATGATAGAGGGACTGTGATTTGTATATCGATCCACTGAGGCGGTGGTGGTAATATCCCGAGTAATAAACGCTCCGTGGAGTACATACGTAAAACCACATATCCCTGTTCTATAACAATAGAGAGACTGGTAAAACTGAGACTAAATGCTCGCCCAAACATATATAAAGCCCGTCGCCATAGTAACATAGTAATACATTCAATATTTGTATTTGTTGTTACGGTAACAAGAAGACTAAGTAATATTTGTCATTAATAATGACTGGGTCTACAATTAAAAATGTTACTAAAATAGAATTGACGTTATCATAGAAATGCGAAATTATTTTCGAAATTCTTTCTTTATATTCCTTCTTATAAAAATAAAATAGTTTTGTGTTCTATATATGCAAATGAAAACTTGTATATCATTTTGTTCAAGTGAGTGATAGCACGACTAATCTTCTCTATCTCCATTCCTGATAAAAACAAAACAAAAACATACACCTTCAAACACTGCTGCAAATGTACATGTATGACCAGCTAGAAAATGTTGAAATATTACGTAATTAGACCATCCGAAAACACATAGTTCCGGGTTTGTTCACGATTATATTGTCATGAATTTGTTTTCGCGTATCTGTTGACCGACTTAATTAACTGATTATTAGCTGAATTGCTGTGTTATGTCTGTCATCGTGTAGGCCTATTTGAAGTTTTGGACGGAACTTGGCTCAGTGGTTTGGAACTAATTACAAGATACCGTCGCTATTCTGACATCCGTAGTTATTAATGTAGTGAACGATTAATCAAAAGATATGACGTATTCAGTACTTAGTGTGATTGGCTTTATGATTGAAGGTTACGCCCTAGAGTCTTTTACTGCTTTGTAATTGGTTAGAGTTGTGAAAATGAATAAAGAGAGTTTGAGCTGGTCTTGACGAACACAGCACGATAGACGTAGAAGAGAGAGAGTGCAGTCCTGGGCAGTAGAGAGAGGGTGCAGTCCTGGAGAGTCGAGTCCAGTCCAGGGGCGAGCCTTGAGGCAGTCCAGTCTTGGGCGAGTCTTGGTTCAGCCTTGTGAGAGTCTTGGGGACTTTTCCCCAGGGCGCTGTGTCTTATAGAGTGCTCGATTGACCGACTAAGACGAGAGCTGAAACGTATTTCGTTGTGTGTGCTTATTTGACTGTAAAGTATAAGTGACTTTCCCGATCCCGTACCTCAAGGGGACGAGATAGAGAGACGAGACGAGACGAGATTCCCCCCTGACAAGTGTGGAGAACCTGAGAGAGAAAGAAGATTTTCCCCCTGATAATATATTGACGGCAAAATAAATCAAAGAAAGCTTAGAAAGAACTCCCATGTGCTGTGAGTATTGGAGACACATTAAATATAATTCGAAATTACTTAGCTGAAAACTAATTATGCAAATCAGAAAATTAATATGAACAGATTTGAGTGTAAAACTAATGAGGTCTGCGCAATGTAACAGAAAATCTATGTACCAAGTTTAATTGAAATGTGATTAGAACCAAAAAATTATGAATTATTATGCTTATTAGGGAATTAATATGAACAGATTTTTACCCCAAACTAATTAGGTTTGTACATTGTCCTAGAGCATCTTTGTACTAAGTTTCATTGAAATGGAATAATTAGTACTTTAGATATCAGTGTGAAAGCTGATTAATTAATATGTACAGATTTTAATCCACAATTATCCAGGTCTGTCTATTGTCCTACAGCATCCATGTACATTCATTGATATGTGATGTTTAGTACCTGAGATATCAGTGTGAAAGTTTGGTTA